ACAGGAATCTATGCAGCACCAGGGGAAATCTGCAGGCAGTACATTTCATTTGGCACATTAGCTTAACTTTAGCTTAACCTGTGTGGATTTTAGCCCTTTCCATCGCCAGCAAACCAAAATCAGCCGTGATCTAAATCATCCCAGCTGAAACTGATGATGAGTTTTGTTTTGTGCTCTTCAGAGGAATGTCTATTTGACAAAAAAAATGTTCTTTAAAAGGAAAGGTGATGAAAATGTTGACAACATTAAAAAGCTTCAACAACAGTTTCTCTGGAGAAATGAGAACTGATAGAAACATTAAAAAATAACAGAATAAAACTAGGTCACGTCCTCTTATATGGCAGGTCTGCATCGGATTTCTGTATGCTTCCCTCCTGCTCTCTGTGATCATATATACAGTATTTTAATACAGACGACTTCCCAATGAAGCTGTTCTTATTTACATATTTTTCTGTTTCTGTTGTGAGACAACGGAACAAATATGAAATAGCGACCGAGACATGGCCCATTAAGACGACATGTTAACCGGCACTCACTTCCAAGCAGTTTCCTTGTGAAGTAGTGTCACAGGTGGAAGGCCTGCGTTGATGATGTGTCTATTTAAACTGTAGTGCTATGATTCACTTACTGCGCTATCTGAGATGCCTCACAACTGATATTGTACTGTCTGACACAGATTGCAACCAAGATTTTATGAAAGCCATGCTGCACAGTGTGACATGCAATGAACCTGCAAGAATGCAGTTTGTCACACAGTGTGCGGGGGCCTCGAGTCTCACCTCATGGAGATTATAGTGGTAATGGGATTTTCTTGTTTAGTCATCTAGTTTGTGTGTGTGAACAGAGGTGGTGCATTTTATATTACCCCCCCTGTTTAAACATCTTATGTTTTTAGAAATCTTATCTTATCAGTGTGTTGCTGTTTATCCAAATCAAGACCAGCAATTCTTGTTGCATGTGTTTTCATATTTGTTGCTTTTCTGAACTCCAAGTGCATCTCCCTGAATGTTTTTGCTTTCTTGCAATATGTATTTTGTCCTCAGGGGCCACCGTAAACCTGCCTCTCTCTAATGGACAAAGCCTACCACGTGCACTATAATGCAGAAAATATGCTGCATGTTGGCCAATACTGGTCACACAAACGAACTGACGAATGATTGGTATGGGAGACACCAACAAACAGACACAGGGCATACTTGCTTTTTAAAGCGCGCACACACACACACACACAGAGCCACTAATGTAGTGGCCATGTCCAGACAGCTTTCCGGAATTTCCTGTGGAGCCACTGCAGGTCTCTGTCCATAAGGCTGATGACTCCCTGGGGTAATTGGCTACTTTATGCTGCTCATATGGAGCTATCTACTGTTGCATAACCCCCCACCCCACACACACACACACACACACACAAACGCTCACTATCATCCACACATACATGAATTCAGACACAAGCAGACACATAGACAATATTCAAGCTTCCAGAGTTTCCATCATCTTACTGTTATAGTGATTTGCATGGTTTTATCTTGGATGTTTCAGTGTCAGTTTCCCTACTGCTCAGGTATTATCTTCTGTGTTTGACACCTTCTACTTACATCACGATTTTACTCTCCGAGATAGAGACTCAGTGGTCTGCAGCTTATTCTCTATCTTGTCTTTAAGTCTCATCTTTAATTAAATTTTAGGAGCAAGTCAAGCAAGAAGGAGAACAGGAGCAATGAACAGAGCAGCAGTTCTAGGCTCTAGGATTTTGTCATTGGCCCTCTAGCTTCTAAATATGCTGTAGGGACAAATCAGTCTAATGGAAGAGATCTACCTTCAGGCTATCATTCTGCCCTTCCTGTCGGTCAACCTGCACATTTTCTGCAACCCATCCATTCTTTACAGCTGTTCCCGAACACTTTACTGCTCACATACTTCAGATTTAAGTACAAGCATGTCATGTCCCTTGCCCAGCACATGCACAATAACCTAAAAGCCAACCCCTCCTCCCATCCAAACACACAACACTAGCCATAGCAGACAATCAGACCTATTCCTCAGCATTAATTACCATTTTAATTAGCAAGGCTGTGAGAATAAATAATCTGACAGCATATGGCTAAGGGTGCAAAATCATAATCCTATCACAGTGTTATTTATTCCCTCCCAGTTCCAGGGGCTGTTTCAACATGCTGGTCTAATTACTATTGCTGGGGGTGGGGACTGGGAGGCAAGCGCAGAAAAACAATAACAATGCTAATGCTGGAGGCAATGCTAGGTTAGGCCTACACCCAATTTTTGATGCGTGCTTTCTCAATAGGGAGCCAGGCTTTCAAAATACTCAGGAGAAAACAAAGAGGGATAAGGGAAATGAAAGAATCAAGATATGTCCTCTCTTTCCTTCCCTCATTCCTAATGAGGGTTTTCTTAATGAAAGAGGGAGGAATCTGAATCGAAACATCTGCTCGACCGAGGGCCCATTCAGAGATGAAAAGCCAGGGCTTGTTTGTGATGTGACGGGGAGGAGAGAGGGAGGAGAATCGAAACAGAGGCAAATGGCTCTCTTAAATAACATCATTATTTATTGCATGTGTCTATAAAGAATCAATACAACCTAAAGCAATGAACTAAGTTTAAATTATCATCTCTTAGTAGCATCACAATATGCAAGATATGAATTATTTACAATGAAAGACACAGCAAGATAAGCCAGGGCCCATATCGTAACCTTTTTAGATGCTGAATAAAAACTTGAAACATTATCCAAATGCAAAACACTGCTCAAAACAAACAGAAAAAAGTTTCCATTTCAAATTTGAAGAAAAAAAAAAAAAAAAAGTACAAACAGCAAAAATCTGATTTTAAGGTTTAACAAACATTATTAACAGTATTTATACATTTGGTACATCTTTGTAAACTAATTTTCAAAAGTGTAAATATTGCATATATGCCATTTGTGTTGTACCTTAGTAACAAGAATTAACTATGTCAAGTAATAATGATTTCTCTTTAAAATCTTTTTCAGAATTACAGCATTAAAAAATGTCCTCATAGTGGCATCAATTTCACAAGACTATCCCATGACAGTTTAAAAAAAAAAAAAAAAAATCAAAGCCAAACCATACTGGTTAGCATAACTTAATTAGTGCTTTTGTTGTATCAGAAATTTCACTCAAACACATACTATGTACAGTACAAACAACAGAAGTTATTTAACTTAACATCTCTCAAAGTTTTGCAGCGTTCACTTGGATGTAATTCTCTGTAACGTCGCACTATTTACAGTATATAGGCAAAGGTTAAGTACCAGTGAATTCATATAAATAATAAGATACTTCCCCTGGTTTGTCTCTTTTATTCAGCTTGTATCTGTTATAGTCTCCATTCAGTACCTCTGCATGTTTCATTATTGTTGTTGCAGTTGTTGTTGTTGTGTTTGTTGGGTTGTGTGTGTTCCCGAGCTCGGAACACAGCATGTACTACATTCAACGTGTCTTGTGTTACAATCTAGAAAGTTTGTAAGTGCAAGACCATGCAGTGGAGGCCGTGAATTCAAGCTATCGAGCGGCTTGTTGAAAAACAGCCAGACAGACTGCGTCCTGCGTTCGCCACATTGTTCAGTGCTGCCTGGTGCGGTGTGACAGACCTCCACAATGAGGCATCAGGTGAGAAAATGTAAGATACTGGGCTGTCCAGTTACTCTGTATAAATAACTTCAAACATTCATGTTCCCATCCCTCATCTCGACACGTCATAGCTTCCTGCGGGTTGTGTGGGTGTGCAGGATGTCACAGGTGAACAGTGGATGAGTTGGTAAAGTGTATGAAGGTGCTGAGACTTGGGCTCAGACAGGCCACAGATCTGGTGGTCAGGTCCAGGTGGACCTTGTTCATTCTGCATTGTTTGGATGTATGACACCTGCATGCATTTGTGATGCAATGCAATGTCAAGTATTCCTCTAAGGTCCTCTAAGTATTCATTTAGTGTGTATGAATCCTCCATCTCAGACGTATTAATAAATATATTACTCTGGATTTTTAATACATAATCTTGTCATAAATGTAAGTGGGGAGAGAAGGAACTTAATCTCAGAGAGGCTGTCTCTCATTCGGCTCTGATGCACATTCAGTCTCTAAGATGATCGGTTAAATCTTTGATATACTGCGTGTTTATAGGTCCAAACTAAAAAGGTCCATCAGATGGGGGCTGATGGTTAGAGTAAGGCTTTGGATTGGTGATTCTTAAAAAACATTCACCTCTGAAAATAAATATTTTATATATATTTCTACTGTGTGAATTGGTACCAACCTGGTTTTTGCTGAGGTAGGGTTTTTTTTTTTTTTAAGCAAATGTTAACTTTGATTTTTTAAATATGTTCATAAATGCCACCTCTTTTTGCAGTACAATCTGTATAAAAATGTACACACACATTTCATTTACTGCATACAGACATGATAAATAAATAAATACATGTAATCTGTATGCATGTAAGGTTGTTTTTTTGCGTATATGTGTGCGCACACTTGCTCTCCAGGTTTGGCTCACAGATTTTCAGGTGAGAGTTTCTGGCAACGTTTGGCTGAAGCCAAAAGAAAGCCAGTTGAAAGTGTATGAATGGTAATAGCAACAATAATTAACATAACAATATACTGCAGAATAACTTTGCAGGCCTACGTACAGAGATAAATAGATAAATAGTTACCTATCTATAATTAGAGTTAAAAGTCCATTTAAGTTCTTGTTATTTTATTTTTTTTTAAAGTAATCTAGTACTACAGCAGCGATGGCGCCTGAATGTTTTGGTGCCGAGAAAAGCAGAGGGAAGATTTGGGGGAAGGGTCAAGTGTCTGTGTTTCCATGGTGATGGCTGTCCCAGTGACCCTTGAAGGCAGCAGAGAGGTCAAAGGACATTGGCTGCAGCTCATGGTCCAACTGTCACTGTGGCGACCTCGTCACTTGGCTGCAGCGAAATCCTACGTTCACAGGAAAAGGAGAGAGGTGGGGGGCGGGGGCTGGTGGGGGGGGGGGGATCCATCAGCCTTCATTCTGAAAGAAGAATAAGAAGAAGAAAAAAAAACAACAAGTGAGTTTCTTGTCATGTGATTACAGACATGAACCTGCATGTAACAGAATGAGATTTCCCAGTCAATACTCCCTACAGAAACTTAATTTAAGTGTGTGTACATGCAGGATATGTGATTCATCACAATGGACAACAAAATAGAAGGGAGGAAGAGGTCAAACGTATACCATCACTCTGTTACCAAGTAAGGAATAAGTGCTCTTCCAGTGAACTGCCTTAGAGAGAGTGTGTGTGTGTGTGTGTGTGTGTGTGTATATTCCTCAGCTGGTAGACACTGAAGTGGCAAGTGCTTTCACGGCAGGGGAAAAACAGACTGGCATTTAGCATTGTGCAGATGACACAGGGCAGCCACCAAGAACAGCAAAGGAGACAAACAACACTCCCACACACCAACACACACAGGTATGTATTCTTGATTGCATACCTACTGAAGTCAAATAAACAAAGATTTACTCCCACACACAGCAAAGCTGTGTATTTTCACATGCTATAAACTCAGTCTTCAGAGTGTCACTTTTCTCCCAGTGGAAAGCTGCACTGACCCTTGCCCCTGTGTACTTGTTTGTGAGGTTTCATTTGCATGCAGAGCTATCAAATGGGAGCGGAAGTCTTGGTCCACACACACACACACACACACACACACACACACACACACACACACACACACACACACACACACACACACACACACACACACACACACACACCCCTTCACCACGGCTGCATTTCTTCCCTCATTCGCTGTCTCCTCTCCCTCTTCCCCAGCCATGAACAAGAGCTGTTTTCACAAAGCTGGATGTGATCGTCATTCTCTAAAACAAACCTTTCATTCAGAGTCCCCCCCCCCCAGCTACTCCCACCATAAACACACTGTTCTCTCTCTTTGCCCTGTACATACTCGCTCTAAATGAAAATCTGATGTTAATCTCAAATATAAAGCTTTATAAACACAACCCTTATTGATGATCACAGGGGAAAAAAACACATTGAAGAGATTTCTTCAGATGCCCAGGGATGCAAAAACCACAGAGTTCATTTGAAAATTAAAAAAGTGGATTTCACTCCTGTGGCCACCTGGGCTGGCTGCGCTCTGTCTCTTCATTGCCATGGATGTCAGAGACAAGAGGAAAATAGAAACACTGGGGTGGGAAGTGGTGGAAAAACCACAGCAACAGAATCAACCTGACAGAGAGGAACGGGAATGCAGTGAGGTCATGGGACCCATGGTCCATAACAATCTGAATGTGTGTGTGTGTGTGTGTGTGTGTGTGTGTGTGTGTGTGTGTGTGTGTGTGTGTGTGTGTTTCTGGAGGGGCTGGGCTAGTCAGTGGCCTGTAGAGACAGACACTTGGGTGAGAATGACAGAGATCTACCGGGAAGGAGAGCTGAATCACTAACAGCTCAGATTAGCAACCAGGTGTAGACACGAACATAAGCACTCGAAAAGATTATGATTATTGAATGAACAATGATGCAAGTGGACAATATGGCGTATGGGGACTCGCCACGCACACTGCTATTCAAACACATGCTGATCGGAGAAAAGTGTGGGTGGGCGGGGAGAATTTTGGTAGGGGGTGAGGGGTGTGGGCGGGGGGTTGGAGGGGTTAGTATTGAGAGAAAGGGACAGAGGTCCAGCAGGGGAATGAACCCAATGGCTCCTACCCACACCCACCCATCCCAACAACCCCTGTCCCAACACACACACACACACACACACACCACACACACACAACCACAGCACACACACACACACACACACACACACACACACACACACACACACACACACACACACACACACACACACACACACACACACACACACACACACACACACACACTCTGTTCATTATTTATTTAGTTCTCACAGGCTAAATTTAATGCCCTGCTCCATTCACGGCTCGGACACACACGCAGGCATGCATTAGCAGCCTCCTCTCTAGTGCTTCACAGGCAGTGTAAACAAGGGCTCATGTCTGTTGATGCATCGCCTGCTTGAGTAGTTTCATGTTGTTGCAGAGCGAAGTTAATGGGCGTGTAGGGGAACTGCTCCAACTGAACAGCAACAGCAAGAAAGGAAGGGGATCACCAACTGTTTTTTTTTTTTGTTTGTTTGTTTTTTGTTTTTTGTTCGCTGGAAATCTGCAAACAACAAAACTGATGTCAGGAACAGTTTCCTCCTACAGATAGAGAGAGATATGCAGGCTCAGATATGCTCTGTTTACATTCCTGCCCTGCTGGCTCCTCCCTGATCTACAGCAGCGCTCCGCCAAACAAACACTGACTGACTCTTCACCTCTGATCTCCCACACCTCGGTCTGACCAACATAACAACAGCCACTGCTAACTTTGTTGCTATCCTGCTGTCGCATTATTACATATATTCCAGATAACACAGGTAATACATTCCCCAACTTACCTGTGTTTGTAAATCTTGTCTTATTCGACAATTAGTTAATCATTTGATCTAAAAAATGTCAGAAATGGTGAAAAAAACAATCAGTTTCCCAAAGCCCCCGTTGATATATTCAATATATTGTTTTTCTTGTGTTGTTTTTTGTTTGATAGACAGCTCTAAAAGCATCATAGGTAACAGACAAATGCTTTATAGCAGGTTATAAAACATGCTCAGATTTCAGTTTTCATAAGACAAGTCAATGCAATATTACACCACTCCATTCCTCATAGTCAGTGCCTCATGTTATGCTTAACTTTATAATCTAACCTCTATGGAGAAGTATTATACAGCAACGGGGTCCAAAGACTTCTTGGAGAAGAGTTTACGATGAGCTAGTCTGTTTATGAATGAATCAGCCTATAACCACAAGACGTAACTGAACTTACTTGGTGTGTGTGTGTGTGTGTGTGTGTGTGTATATATATATATATAAGTATTGTATGGCATCCGCACTCATGTCACACACAAAAGACGCTCTATGTCTTCCTCTCCCTCTAGAAAAACAAGCTGCTCAACAATGTCTAATCCTGAAGTGAATGTAATCCTTCTTACCTCCAAGCTAAATTGAGGATACGCTAGGTTAACTTTGTTTTTATCTAGTGCTGGAACACCACGCCCTACTTTGCTCAAAGAGTTATGTTTCACACAGCCAGGAGTGCTGCGTATGTTTGTCTGTAGGGGACGTGTATACAGGACAGGTGAGGACAGAGACTGTATGTGCACAATCTCACTGCATTCATGAGCTACGCTGTCCAAAAACATCAAACCTGGAAGACAAACATGTGAATACGGTTGCCTGTAGCATTAAAAGGGTTATAATTTAGCAGCTAGTTCCTGATTCTCAGATGTCAGACTTTCCCACCTTCTCATGAACACACCGTAACAAAAGTCATTTCCAGGGTCGCAACTAATTATACAGTTTGGCTTTTTTGCTTGGAATATGACTCAGAGGATAAATCAGTTACCAATATAGCTGCTGATAAATTGATTCATCATTGCAGCTTCAGATATTTCAAATCAATTGTTCAAAGCAGTTGGCTGTCTGTTATTGTGCTTGGCAGTGTGAGGTAAACCGAGCAGTGAGAGGAGTGAGAGTCTTGTTAGTGGCTCTAATCAGATATGATTATTTAATTGTTTAATGCAACGTTAGACAATCCTCTATGGCCTCTGGTGTGAAAAGCCAATCAGAGACACTCCACTGAGGTCAGATAACAACAGGAAGAGCACAAGGCTCCAATGCACCGGTGTGGTGAAGGAGAGTGTGTAAGGGGTGGTGGGGGGGAAGGAGGGGTTGAATCACATGATTTCTGAAAAACAGAAACCAATGCCTGGAGAGAAGGAGAGGGGAAACGGGGGGAGGACGAGAGGCATAGGAGGAAGAGGAGGGGGTTGAGTATGGCTTCTTGAAACTGCTTTGCCACACCCCCACCTTCTCCCTGTTGTTGTTGTGGCAGATGGTGGCCAGTCATTAGCGTATTGTCACTCTCCTCTGAAGGGCCAGATAACCAGTGAGCACTGCTTGGCGGGGCAGGTGCAAAACCCCTGACCCACCCCCCCACGCCTCCGCCATCTGCTGATGGCTGCGTATATGTACGCACGCAGGAGACGTAGACACACAGACAAAGTGGAAATGTGCGTGTGTGTGTCTGTTTGGGTGATGGTGGTGGTGGTGGGGTGCAGTCTGGGCCCACAAATTGAGACTGTGAGTGAGTTTTCTCCCTTACAACCCCCCACCCCACCCCCCACCCACAAAGGATCTTTTTAGCCAAAGAGAGAAACATTAGGTAACTGAGGGCAGAAGTGGGAAAAGAAGATGACAGGAGGATGATAAAGAAGCTTTTATGGAGAGAAGAGAAGTGGCGATACATATTTACTCTAAAAGGAGGGATAAGGTGAGAGCAGCCAAAGAAAGGGAGTAAAAAAAGTTGCAAAAAATAGCACAAACACACACACACGCCCTTTTTCTGTATTTCTGGAAATGTCCTGATGGCGATATATCTCTCAAAGCCACACACACACACACACACACACACACACACACACACACACACTGCTAGTTCAAAGGTCAAGAAACTGACATTGTCAACCAGAAAGCGTGCACTGAAAGCTAAACAGCCCCCTCCTCCCCCTCTCCCCTGCATGTAATGTCAGGGCCAAAACCCAAACAACAACAGTGAAACCTCCCAAGTAACAGACTCAGGCACTCCTCCCAACCCTCCATAAACACACAGGTAAGATATGCTTGCATATTTGCATGTTTGTCGAGCTGGGAAGTAGCATCTCTCCCTCTCCACCTCTACCTCACACCGCAATGCCAAATGAGGTCAGGTGATTTATTTCCCTAATGTACCTGTTTCAAGCAGACGTACTGCAGGGTATACAAACTATGGTTACCTCAGTGATAACAAGAGAATGTGGTAAAGCCTGACATTTTGTAGTAAACAAAACAGGTGTGCCCTCTCTCACACGAAAAGGGAAGTGTTTTGTATTTTGATGTCAGAGTTGAGTGGTTCACTATTACGTACAAAGAAATTTGTTGGGACAGTCTTATATAACCCAGATACAGCAGCAAAGATCAGCTCTTACTGGAACAACACTGATTTCTATCCCTCTGTTTCTTTTCTTTCTGTCCTTCTTACTCCTCCACTCCTCCCCCTCAATCTCTCCCTGCCTACAGCCAAAAGCTCAATTGTCTATTTTGTTGGACTTGAAAAAACAAAACAAAGTCGTCCATCCACCCATCACCATTGTTCTTTCACCTCCCTCTTTCCTCCTCCTCTGCTTTCGCCGCCTCAGACCAATTTCTCCACTCAGGGTCAAAATTCAATATTTGGGTCCCGAGACATAAAAGTAACAGGACACAATGAACACAGTAATAGATGTGAGGGGCACATGTATGTGTAAGTGCCTGGTTTTTCAAGCCGTATGTGTTCATACAAAACATCAGTGAACATCAGCTCCTGTGTAAAACTGTTTCATTGGCATGTTTTTATGAAGTTGCTCACACTGAGAAAAAAAAAAAGAGAATCCTCCCATCCCCCCTTTGAGTCCATCCCACCAGGTTAGAAAAACAAGTGAGCATTCACCTCTCCCAGCAACCTTTGCACACTGCCCACATTCCAGTCCTGAAACCCAGTACCTGACAACTGATAAACAACTGACTCACTTGTTTTTCTGGGGAACCCGATGACTTCCACCAAGCCTAACACTGGCTGTGCTCACAGCATGAGAGCCGACAGAGACAGAGACAAAGAGGGACAACTTGGTTGTGAAACCACAAACGGCAATTAAACTCTTCTATTTCACCATCAGGAACACTGACTCCTGACTCACGATGATCCTGACACAGTGTGTTTTCTTTTCAAACAATAGCAACTTCTGACATGCCCCTGCCAGGTCATCTACCTCGGTAAATAATCCCTTCCATTTAGAAATGCATGAAAAGCCACTGATGCAACAGCGAATAAATGAGGTGAAAGGTAATATTTAGACAGCTAGTCACAAGGACTTCACGGCTAATTCACGCACATCATGTGCAGTGCTGCATGTGCCGCTGACTCAGTTTTTCAAGATACTGACGTGGTATTAATACATTTCTTAAAAAAGGGATCATTGAAGGGAAACTAGAGCAGACCATTCACACAGACACACAAGAGCAGCATCAAACCAGCCAGAATAAAATACAACTATAAGTCTGGCCATAGTTTTCAAAATAAAACTGTTTCAAAATAAGATGGTTGTAAAATAAAATCTAATTTAAATCCAGTGATTCCTGAATTGATATAGCTGTTGTTTCCCTCTAAACAGATGTATGGATACATTTCTGTTGTTTTGCATACTTCATTGCTTTTACTCAACTCTCGAATTCTAAGCTCTTATTTTTTGGCAGGAACACGCTCATGTTCCGGTGCTGCTGCTCTGACAGCTCTGTGCAGTTTCTAACACATCAAGGACCAAGCAGAGAGGTCCCTCCCTGCATACGCAGCTTTGATATTTGTCAATGTGTCATGGGTGTGACGAGTAAGTGACTAATTTATATGTATAATCTAACCATCACAGCCCAGAGGCAATGCTCAGGTTCTTCCCAAGGCTCCTGTAACGTGTGTTTGCAGACCCTAAATTGCTATTCTAACGCATGTGTATCTGAATGTCACCACTCTTGAAGAAAGAATGAACACTTTACATTTGATTAAATAACACTGTAGGTTGTTGTTTGTCGGTGGCGGTACCTCTACTTTGAACAGAAACTAAAAAATGTGAGAGTGTGATATTTAGCAGTCAGTGGGTTAAATCCACAGCCAGTTTTAAACACACAGGCTCTACTGTAGACACACAAATGAAGCCGTTTTCAGCATCTTCTCTTAAAGATAATCATCATTCTCAGCTCTGGAATGAAAATGTGCTCAGAACTGCTGCTTAGCAATGAGTAGCCTATCTCTGCAGAGTAAACAGTGGCCCTGAGGCGGATCTCTCATGTACTCAAGCCCTGACAAAACTCCCTTCATGAATGAACACCGACTGGATGAATGAGTGTGTGTGACATGTAGGAAAACACTCACCTTTCACAGCAGCAGCAGTCTCCTTGAATCCCAGGCTGGCATAGGGGCTGGTGTTGAAACCATTCATGCCACCCTTGCAGCCACAGGCGGGCTTGAACCTCAAGAGTCCATCACAGCCCCCCAACCGGCATCCTCCAAAGTTTCCCTCCATCAAGTTTAAGGCAATGTAGTTAAGTCCATTTTGATAACCAGCTGACGTCTCCCTGCACATGGGGCTGTTGTTGCCATAGTCCTCGTCAGGTCCCTCAGAACTGCGAACAGTGCGGGACACATTCTCCACAGAGGCGGAGCTGTGCCGTTTGGTGTCGTGGGCAAAGGATGGACACACGGGTGTGACAGTGGTGGTGGAGGAAAAAGTCTCAGAACTGTGCCGCCGACGCCCTTGAGGATCAGCCTTGATCACTTTGGCTCCCCTGTTTGGATCCACGAGAGTGACAGATAACGAAGGACCCCCCATGAGAAAAGAGTGCTCTGGGACATGGGGCACCGTTTCCACAATGCTGCTTTCAAGGCTGAGTCTCTGGACACATGCGGTGGGGCTGGTGGGGAGGGAAGCAGCATCAGTGGTGCAGAGAGCAGGGAGAGGGGCAAGAGGACTGAAAGTCATCTCAGTGTAGTCATCCTTAACTGGAGCAGGCTGACACGTCAGGCTCACCTGCTGTTGGTGAGGATACTCCTCTACCATCCCCCTCTCCTCTGTCTGTCCCTCTTTGCTTTTTTCCCCTTCTTCCTCCTTGCCTTCCTGCATGCCCTGCTGGGTGCTCGCCAGAGGACAAGACAAGACTTCAGGTGTGTGGTTTAGGCACCCTGCAGTGGGGGAAACCCTAGCTTGGGTTGAGCCAAGGTGACCTGGAGAACTGACATCAACATTAGCATAGTCTGAGAGTGGCAGGGATCCTCTCTTCCCACATGTTAAACTCACAGAAGACTCAGAGCTCTCCGACACTGTGGATGCCTGTGGGTCACAGGTAACACTGCTAAAGTCTATGTTGATGTACTCTCCTGGGCTGCGTGGCTCTGATGGAAGGGGGTGTTCGCTCATACATGGTAACGTTCTGAGGGATTCCAGAGCCAGGCGGGTAGGCCGACACACCCTACTCCGGTGTACCAGACCTCCATCTAACCGAGCCAGTCTGAGAGGAGATGGGGCAGAGGAGGTCACCGGAGAGCTGCTGGCCACCGAGTCTCGTGGAGAGACAGGACAATAGTTGGACTCCTCTTCTATCCGCTGTCTCTGTAAATTCATCACCACGTACTGGTCTGTGTCTGTGGACCCGTTGCGCTGCAATGGGCCTTTAAGTGAGCGTGGAAGAGAGCTATAAAAATAAGGCTGTCTGTGATGTTGTTGGGGGTGGGGATCTCCTCCTGAGGGACTAAGGATGTAGTCTGGGGGTGTGAGAGACACTAGAGGGTCAACAGGAGACATATTCAGGTACTCTCCGTTGGTGAGCTTTCCATCTGTGCTCTCCACTGACATCTTGGTTCCGCACCACATGCGCATGTAGCCACTCTCCTCCAGAGAAACACTCCCGGGGGAGTCTGTGCGTAGGGCCAGCCCTGCTGAAGAGGAGTGCGAATGGGGGTTGATGATCTGCTTTGGAGCAGAAACACACATGGGGCTCATGGGCATGTAGGGGTCATCTTTAGACCCTGGCGTCTGAGGTGTCACACCTGGCATCATGGGCATATAACCACTGTCAGCTTGGACACTGTTAGATCCGATATGGACATCCCTGTAATCCTCAGGATAGGTCCCTTTAGGGGAGGCAGTGTGGCACCTGCGAGAAGACTGGCTTCCGCTGGTGTACGTGGCCCTCATAAGAGTGTACTCATCCAGAGAGGCTGAAGATACTTGGGGAGGGGGCCTTTGCTGGCGGGGAGTGGTGAGGGAGTATGTGCGCTTTCGATATGCCTTGTCCAGGTCCGGTAACCGACGGTAACCATTCTGGTTCTGTCGCTCCATCACCATGTAGCCTTCAAGCTCACTGCTGTCCCGGGAGGGGGGGGTGTCAGCTTTGAGGGACTCGGGAGTGTTGCTACGGAGGGTGAGTGGCAGCCTGAGGTCCCGTGCATCTGCAGGACTAGAGCCATACTCCTCACATGATATAAAACCAGCATCACTGGGTGAGCCTGAGAAGGAGGCACTGCAGCTGGAGGGGCGAGGGGCACTGCTGTCTGGGCAGGAGGAAAGACTCACTAGGCTAGGGGTGGCCATGGGTGGGGAGGGAGACAGGGGCATAGACATGGACTTACTGTGCTGGAGGGAAGAGGATTCAAATGTCCGACAAGGGCGAGCTGTGATGGTGTGAGATCTGCTCAGGAGGGTCCTGTGGACCCCCGGGCTAAGCGGGCTCCCACTCACTGACATGGGGCGTGTCATGGTGCCATCGCCCTCGCTTGCCGTGCGTATTCGACAGGAAGAAAATTTGCTCACAGGAGAGGTCGCAGCCATGCTGTCAGTGCGCGACCGCCGAGGAAGCCCGGTCTGGCTGGGGGGGAGATTGTTCAGGTGCCTCCGTGTGGGCACAGAGATTGGGTTTGTCCCAGACGACTGGCTCTTGCTGCGCGGACGGAATTCCGACAGCTCCTTCATGGCTTTCATCGCCTCCAAGATAGTTTCGTGGATGTTTTGTGCCACCACAGAGTCATCAGCCTGCATCCATAACTCCCCGGGACCCGTGGCTGCAGAACGACCCACCTCAATGAAAAAGAAGCTGTCAGAGTGGCCGCACCTCCGGATATTCATCAGCTGTAAGATGACGGAGGCTACCTCGGAGTTCAACTTGACGAAGCTGATAGTCCGGCTGGAGAGACACAGTCTGTACACCCCGGTCAAATTTCTGCTCTGCCCCAGGCCTTTAGATTTCAGATTAACTTGCCATACCTCCTTGTAGACGGCGGTAACCGGCGTTATTACACCGTAGCTCGCCTCGTCGAAGCCAACCAGCGAGGACGCTGAGTTAGACGCCGAGCCATCATACACTTTCCCCTCTGCCATTAAATCCGTCAGCACCCGGTACCAGCTCTCTTGTTCCTGCTCGTTTTCTGCCGCTACGGCAAAATATTCGTCCTTGGTATAAAGAGCAATAAGATATTTGTGTTTTGCGTCCGCTCTCTTGTTGATATTGAGGCAGCAGTCGAGGGGAATAACTCTCTTCGCGGCCGATTTGTTTTTCCATTTCTTCTCGCTCTCGTAGTACTCCAGCCGCGCAGGGAACCCTTCGCTCGGCTCTTTCAAAACAAAAAAGCGCTTGTGTCCGTGTTTCTGCTTCTTTAGGTATCCGCATTTCTTGACAGCGTTGTTCGCGTTCGTATTGCTGGGTATTAACGACTGGTCTCCCGTGTTTGGCGGACTCGCCATTCTCGCGTCCTCTGCGATCAGACACAATGCTGCTTCCTTTCCTCGAGTTGCCGAATCGACTCCGCGCTTTATTTTAATCCTCTATTTCCAGAGCCGGCTGCGAGTTCGTTCGTCTTCTCCCACAGCTGAGCAATAAATAACACATGTCTCCTGGTGTCCGGACTGAGGGGGGTGAAACAACATGTGACGGTCTACACATCCAGCTCTGGTTTAAAAAATAGAAGGGAAAGGAGAAGGGGAGGGGGTGGGGGGTTGAGAGAGAAAAAAAATACACACACACCGATAGTGGGCGGTGCGCAGTCAGCTCATTGGGCCTATTGGTGGAAACGGGATGAATGCTGGAGTGAGATGGCTCAGTTCAAAGGAGAGAGAGAGAGAGAGAGAGAGAAGTAAAAGGCACAGCTACTATCACTCTGCCCTCTTCCGACTCATTTGAGCGTAGTCAGTCAGCACTGTAGCTTTATTTATAGCAGCCGTGGTCCTATGATCCAACACTTGGCTACTGAGAAGATTTTTTATCAGGATATGTATAGGCCCTGCAAACAAAATGTTCCTGACCTATAAAGCCCACATCTGCGTCATTTAAAGGGATGATTGAGATAGATTATAAAACACTAGAATGCACAGTGACCTGAATATACAGGCTAATCATATGCACAGAGTGATGGAGTAATTGGGAAGTTAACTGACTTCTAATTCTTAGCCTATAAATTACAGTTAGCTATTGTTTTATTCTTATCACACTGATGTTTTCCACATCCCCTTGAATGTATTTCAACGTATTTCAACTGTAGAGGGAGTCATTCCAGTCTTTCTCTCAAACTGGTAAACAAGCATCAGCCAGTGGAGACTGCAGCTTTGTCACAGGAATTTAATATTCCCTCTGCGTCACCCAACCAGTGTACATTCACGGTGTCAGTGGGGTTTTCTATCCCCTCTTCCTTCTTCTTCCTTCTTCTTCTCCAGTCTTCAGTGGAAGCACAAGTGTTCACGATAAATGCACAACAATTTGGGAAGAGCAGATATAGAGCTGTGTGCTTTATTGCATAACGCGGTCCTGCCTTATTCATGTTTGCCTGGAGCTTCCAGCTCAGCCGAGCTGCTCAGTTTTAGCCCGTTTCCGGCTGCTTTATCTGAGTATTTGTGCTCACACACAGAATCAGAGTGTGACGGCGCGACAGATTTAAAGGGATAATAACGTATGTCCAACATGTTTAAAGTTACAGTAGCTTAAAGCTTAACCGACGACAAAAAAAAAAAAAAAACAGCCCTCACTCTGTCAGAGAAACAGAGGAATGACCCATATATGGTTGTGATCGTGATGACGCAAAAAAAAATTCTCCTGATCTTGATGCGTCAATGCTGGTAATGTGCGTAATGATGAAATGCGGGAGCCAGATGGGTACCGCGAGTGAGGCGGTGATGAGAGTGTGCTGCCGACAGCCAATCGCCTGTCTTTGACTTCGCTCACCTCATTGTGCTCAGCAGAGGTACAGTGCTGTTCCACTGACGGGAACAGGCTGTAGCTACAGTGTGTATGCTGTCTTATGCGATGTAGGTCAAATGTAGACACAGCAAACAGCCATAGAAATCACACTTAGGCTATAGTTATGATCTGTAATTAAGTGTGGATGGATCTACATTCCCATTGCCACTCAAAGTACATTATCTGTCACACGTCCCATGATGGTGAAAACTACCCCCATCTTATTCACACACATCCAACACCCCCCACCTTATAGACCATCCTTCAGATCCCACAGTGCTGGCTCAGCACCAAACCACCCTGTCTTCAGGGTCAATAACAATGTCCTTTGCAGGTCAATTATGCCACCAGAGGCAATGATTTGACTACTGCCACCATAGAAGAAGAATCAAATCCAGCAACAACCTCTTATTATCCCTTCCTGATGTGATGCATATTTTTCATGGTTTGAGCTGTGTGTTTACCTCTGCCTTATTGCTTTAAGTGCCATGAATGCATATTGATATAAATAGATGTAGAAAACATGGCTGCCTAAACCTGCCAGGCTCGGATATCTCCCTGTAGGATAAGGAGGGTTCCCTCTCCGTTTATATTAGGTTTCCTAGCCTACATGATAGACACAGGCTTGGATCTGAACTTTCACACCCTCTGATAACAAACAACTACTGCAGATTGACTGTATTGTGAACGTGTTGCTTTAAGTAAGTAACATTTGCCGTATCTACTGTTGCTTAAACCTCTGATAAACAGTGAATGGACTGTCCCTGTCGGAAGCATTTCAAGTCCATGACAACCTGCCTTGTATAATAGCTTGACCTGACACTGGGAAGATAAACAGAAACTGAGTGGGGGTAGTGTGAAGTGAAAGCAAGGGCAGAGGGAGTGACTCTTTCTTTTTGCCTAACCCATGAAGCATGATAAATGCAAATCAGCTGTCTATAAAATACCAATAAGGTGGGTGAATGTCCCATAAAGTGTGCTGCTTGCAGACCCAATCTGTTTGTGTCTGTGATATGTCCTTGCCCTTTTCTTAGGTAACTACATGAATATTTATCACCCTGCAATTTACACAGCATGGTGCATTAATTTACAAGTTAATTAAAGGACCAGCCAAACCTGATTTACAAGACTTTAAATGGGCCCTCTCATCCTCTCCTGTTATGAACCCTTTCGGCCTTATAGGTTCATTTATTTAAAGATGGATAGGAGTGTGACTTTAAGGGCGCATCCTGTCAAAACAGGTAGCTCTTTCTCACTCTCTCTATTTTTTTGCTTGGTACAAGGGATATTCATGCTAGAATTTAAATTGTGAGAAAACAATCAAGACGGGTTAAACAAACAAAGTATAATAGATTGTCTAAATTCACCAGAAGCCTGTAGCTTTGGGGACCTAATCTCATTTAGGCTCCTCAGGCTGGCCTACAAATACAAACAACCTCGGCTGCCCCATTTGCTGAGTCACAAGCACATAATGTCTTAGTCACCCACTGCACTGTCACTGTGTGCAACGATTAGTTTCATAAGCTTTCATAAAGCAGATTAGAAAAGCCGATCTGATGAGATAAGATTAAGGACAAGCGGGAGGGAGGGGGGCAAAGATTATGGGCTCAGTCATACTCCACTCACTGCCACATAAGGCCCCATCAAATGAACAGCACAAACGTGTATTGTTGGCATCCAAACATCGCACACACTCCTCGTCCATTTTCTGCCTCATCTCATTAGTCAAAGACAAAACAGATTATAGCCGAAGCCTGGGGTGTCTGATTCACACTGTTGTGGCAGTGCGTTGATGTTTTTGTTATTTAGTGTCTGGAGTGGGATATTTTTATGTATTCGTCAGAGCAGTTGTGTCAGCGACAGAATTGGAAAGGCTAACCTTTGTTCAGTGTTGGATAACTTAGTCATCACTTGACCTCAATGTTCTGTTGAGGATCCTGGACACAACAGGAAACCTCTTTAACAGCCTAAAAACATACTCAACACTGTTTCATCATCTTAGTCATTTTTTGATATTGTTTATAGACTTGATTTTGAACTGATGACATTTCTGACGTCTGTTAGAGAAAATGACAGAGACAGAGATGACAGAGACTATAACTGTAAAACATGGATATATAGGATTGATTTTCATATTTCATCTTACTTTTTATGTCACCTCCCAAATCCTAAATAAGTCTAAATTTGTTTTAATTGATTGTTTGGTTTTAGGCTGTCTAACAGAGAGTAGGCTAACTCTTTATATTTATATTTATTATAACTGACCCCAAAAAATAAGTATGTCACTATGTAGGATAGTATACTGTACATTGCTTTATCAACGCATGTATTTTAGCAAATAAAATGAATGGATATTAGTGTATATGTATATAGCCCTTTTAACATATAAAATATTTCCTCTCATTTCGAAATAATAACAATTTTAATGTCGGACTAAAAGGCACATATGTTAGGAAAAATTTAAGGGTTTTCTTCACATTAATATGAGGAAGCAACATGGGACGCCATTTAGGCTTGCTTTATTTAATTCATTCTTTTTCTTTGAACATCGAAACATTGTTCTCTACTAACCTTGTAATTTCTAAAACCTGATATTGTAACCAGTTAATGATAATGAAAGCTGTTTTCTGTGCTCTTGAGCACATACAATATAGATCGCTCCGTTCAAACTGGTGTTGTCACCCATAATTGACTCGATCCCCTGATCAATACAGCAGAGGCGAAATTGAAATTTCTCTCCTGGTTAATTTTTGTGCTGATTGATCATAGACGGGCTGACCCGGAGGAAAGGCAGCGTGTGCTGATGGAGATCCTTGTGTTATTGGACATTACTGCCTGCATCTGTATTGAGCCACAGCACAAGTGATTACAGTTTTGATTACTTCAGTTAACCAAGTCATTGGCATGGACTTAATATATTTTTGATTAATCTGCAGGTCAGTTGTGTAGAATGGGACCATGAAGTCAATTATAGGCTAGTGGTTGTATTCAATGTCCCACTTACATTGTGAAATGATGGTTTTGCACATTTGCTGAAGAAATGTGGAGCTGCAGAGATGTTTACTTTTTATACCTTGGATGTTTTATTGAGACCTTTCTGTACTGTGAACATTTCAATGTTGACGCTGATCCCTGGCTTATCTTCTCATAATATCACCTCTTTTTGAGACTCTGTTGTACAGTCATTCAGAATGACTTGGATTTTCTCATTTCACAGGTCACTGAGACAGATATTTATTTAATATGCTCATTAGAAGGGACAGGAGACATATCAGTCAGACACAGCCGTAGCATGCTTATGTGGCCAGAAGAGAAACCAAGGCTGAAGACATGCACGGACAACATATTTATTCATGAGCATGTCTTCCCCCAACAAATTACTCTCCAGGCCACATAGAGAGATATAACAACAGCCAGCCACCTGAAATTTTAGCTCTCTGTAGCTTTGATTAAGCGGATATGAATGCATATGATATTCAGGCTCCATAATGCCATCATCAGTCATTTCTCATAATTATCCGTTATCTGGAGTCACATGGTTTGATATAAATGACAATGATACATGAGCCCCCTCCCTGCCTCAGTCAGAACAGGGGGGGAACCCATGACTGTCACAGAAAGAGTGCAGAGAAATGACTCAAGTGTGTGTCTGTTCACACAGAATAAATGTACGGTCCACTTTTAAACAGCAGCTGT